CTTTCAGTAACCTACCTCCTACACCATACACTTGCAACATCTGCCACATTGCCCCCCTATCCACCCTGTCATACGCCTTTTCCAAATCCATAAATGCCACAAAGACCTCTTTAGCCTTATCTAAATACTGTTCACTTATATGTTTCACTGTAAACACCTGGTCCACACACCCCTACCTTTCCTAAAAGCCTCCTTGTTCATCTGCTATCCTATTCTCCGTCTTACTCTTAATTCTTTCAATTATAACTCTACCATACACTTTACCAGGTTACACTCAACAGACTTATCCCCCTATAATTTTTGCACTCTCTTTTATCCCCTTTGCCTTTATACAAAGGAACTATGCATGCTCTCTGCCAATCCCTAGGTACCTTACCCTTTCCATACATTTATTAAATAATTGCACCAACCACTCCAAAACTATATCCCCACCTGCTTTTAACATTTCTATCTTTATCCCATCAATCCCAGCTGCCTTACCCCTTTCATTTTACCTACTGCCTCACGAACTTCCCCCACACTCACAACTGGCTCTTCCTCACTACTACAAGATGTTATTCCTCCTTGCCCTATACACGAAATCACAGCTTCCCTATCTTCATCAACATTTAACAATTCCTCAAAATATTCCCTCCATCTTCCCAATACCTCTAACTCTCCATTTAATAACTCTCCTCTCCTATTTTTAACTGACAAATCCATTTGTTCTCTAGGCTTTCTTAACTTGTTAATCTCACTCCAAAACTTTTTCTTATTTTCAACAAAATTTGTTGATAACATCTCACCACTCTCTCATTTGCTCTCTTTTTACATTGCTTCACCACTCTCTTAACCTCTCTCTTTTTCTCCATATACTCTTCCCTCCTTGCATCACTTTACTTTGTAAAAACTTCTCATATGCTAACTTTTTCTCCCTTACTACTCTCTTTACATCATCATTCCACCAATCGCTCCTCTTCCCTCCTGCACCCACTTTCCTGTAACCACAACTTCTGCTGAACACTCTAACACTACATTTTTAAACCTACCCATACCTCTTCGACCCCATTGCCTATGCTCTCATTAGCCCATCTATCCTCCAATAGCTGTTTATATCTTACCCTAACTGCCTCCTCTTTTAGTTTATGAACCTTCACCTCTCTCTTCCCTGATGCTTCTATTCTCCTTGTATCCCATCTACCTTTTACTCTCAGTGTAGCTACAACTAGAAAGTGATCTGATATATCTGTGGCCCTCTATAAACATGTACATCCTGAAGTCTACTCAACAGTCTTTTATCTACCAATACATAATCCAACAAACTACTGTCATTTCGCCCTACATCATATCATTCACTTAACATCTCCCAAAATCTCTCTCTCTCCTCTGCATTCCTCTCTTCTCCAGGTGCATACACGCTTATTATGACCACTTCTCGCATCCAACCTTTACTTTAATCACATAATTCTTGAATTTACACATTCATATTCTCTTTTCCTTCCATAACTGATCATTTAACATTACTGCTACCCTTCCTTTGCTCTAACTCTCTCAGATACTCCAGATTTAATCCCATTTATTTCCCCCACTGAAACTCTCCTACCCCTTCAGCTTTGTTTCGCTTAGAGCCAGGACATCCAACTTCTTTTCATTCATAACATCAGCAATCGTCTGTTTCTTGTCATCCGCACTACATCCACGCACATTTAAGCATCCCAGTTTTATAAAGTTTTTCTTCTTCTCTTTTTTAGTAAATGTATACAGGAGAAGGGGTTACTAGCCATTGCTCCCGGCATTTTAGTCGCCTCATACGACACGCATGGCTTACGGAGGAAAGATTCTTTTCCACTTCCCCATGGACAATAGAAGAAATAAAAAAGAACAAGAGCTATTTAGAAAAAGGAGAAAAACCTAGATGTATGTATATATATATATGCATGTGCGTGTCTGTGAAGTGTGACCAAAGTGTAAGTAGGAGAAGCAAGATATCCCTGTTATCTAGCGTGTTTATGAGACAGAAAAAGAAACCAGCAATCCTACCATCATGCAAAACAGTTACAGGTTTTTGTTTCACAGTCATTTGGCAGGACGGTAGTACTTCCCTGGGTGGTTGCTGTCTACCAACCTACTACAGTTATCTCATATATATCTTCTGGAGATTTCTGGCAGCGAGTTCCAGATTTTGGGCTCTTTTATGTGCATTATTTTTTTTTACAGAGATTTAGCCAGACACAGGGTATGTCAGATTTTTGTGCCTAGTATTATGTCTGTAGGGGAAGGAAGGCGGGGTAGGGGTCATCCTCGAAAAGGTTGGAGGGAGGGGGTAAAGGTGTTGTGGGCGAGAGGGTTTGAACTTCCAGCAAGTGTACGTGTGCGTGTTAGATAGGAGTGAATGGAGACAAATGGTATTTGGGACCTGACGAGCTGTTGGAGTGTGAGCAGGGTAATATTTAGTGAAGGGATTCAGGGAAACCGGTTATTTTATATAACTGGACTTGAGTCCTGGAAATGGGAAGTACAGTGCCTGCACTCTGAAGGAGGGGTTTGAGATATTGGCAGTTTGGAGGGATATATTGTGTATTTTTATATGTATATATACTTCTAAACTGTTGTATTCTGGGCACCTCTACAAAAACAGTGTGAGAGTGAGGTGAAAGTGTTGAATGATGAAAGTATTTTCTTTTTGGGGATTTTCTTTCTTTTTGGGTCACCCTGCCTCGGTGGGAGACGGCCGACTTGTTAAAAAAAAAAAAAATTGTCTGTGGGTCCTGTTGCAATTATCAAGAAAGTGTTTTGGGTTGGGATTAATATTAGAACTTATGGTTCTGTAAATGTAGGATGCACAGTAGTAAGAGTGAATGTTTTGTATAGTGAGTAGATTTAGGTCTCTGATGAATGAGGGAATGTGTTGTCTAGCAGTGGACTGTGTGATCATTTGTACTGCAGCTTTTTGTTGGGTTATTATTGGCTTAAGGTGATTTTCTGTTGTGGATCCCCAGGCACAAATTGCATAGATGAGGTAGATCAGTGAATAGTGTAATGTAAGTAGTGCTGCATGTGGTACATAATAACGTACCTTTTGAGAGGATGCCAACTGTTTTTGATACTTTCTTTGTGTTTTTGATATGGGTGTTGAATTTCAAGTTGCTGTCAAGGTGCAGCCCTAGAAATTTTCCCTCATTATGTTTAGCATTATGATTATTGATCATCATAATGTTTAGTTGGTCATTATATAGAAGGTTTTGTCAATATTAACTAAGTTTATTAGTAATCATCCAGGTTGAAATTTTTAAGAGCACTTCATTAACAGTGTTGAGTGATGCAAGATTTGGGTAGGAGATGGCAAAAGTTTTGTTATCACCCAAGAGAATAGGTCTAAGCTGCAATACAGTTAATAAGGTCATTGATGTATAAAAGGAATATTAGGGGGCCATGGATGCTTCCTGTGGAACACCAGTGTCCAAAGGTCTTGTTGAGGAGGTTGTGTCCTCCACTCTTAAATGGTCCAAACGTATATATACGTTCATGTGCTTAGTGCCCCAAACGTATATATACGTTTTGTCATTCATTCAACACTGCCACGATAAGCCTGAGTCACCTAGACATGAGAGAATGGGTGTGCGCACTCACTGTGCACCATATTAAAATAATTGGGGACGCCTGGGTACCATATGCTCTTTTTTCCTATTAACCCTTTCAGGGTTTCGGCCGTACTAGTACGGCTTACGCACCAGGGTTTTTGAGGTACTAGTACTCCTAAATTCTAGCGCCCTCAAATCTAGTGAGAGAAAGCTGGTAGGCATACATATGAAAGAATGGGTCTATGTGGTCAGTGTGCGCAGTATAAAAAAATCCTGCAGCACAGTGCGTAATGAGAAAAAAAAAACTTAGACTGTGTTTGGATTAAAACAGCGACTTTGCACTGTATTTTCATATGGTATTTATTGTTGTATTCTAGTTTTCCTGGTCTCATTTTATAGAATGGAAGACATATTACAGAAACTGAGATGATATTGACTGGTTTTACAAAGAAAAGTACCTTGAAATTGCACTCAAAGTAGCAGAAATGTTCGATTTTTACCAAATTTCAAAAGTAAACAAATCATGCTGTGTGTCCACTACACGTCAACTGGTGAGTCTAATATTCTTTCACAAGTGCGCTGATATTATTTATACCATTTCTACACCAATGCAGTAGTCTGTATAACAGTAAATCTTCTATTTTTTGTGAGAATAAAAATTCAAAGTGGAAAGCAAAAGAATGTAAGAGGGGCATGGGGACGTGACTAATGAACAGAGAAAATGCTATTTTAGTGCCAGAAATGTCTTTCTTGTTTATTCTGGACCCTATTCAGAAATTGGCATCTTTTGGAATTTGTGTGAAATTGGCAAAATTTCTAAATTCTGACCACTGTATTGGATAGTTGAAATTGGTAAATGGGTGGTTTCTTGTACTCATTCGATAGACAAAATGGAGTTCTAGCGAAATAGTTATGATTTTTGTCGACAAGTTCCCTAGAATTGGCCGAAAATAGGGCTCAAAGTGGGCAAAATCGCTGATGCGTAAACATCGTCGAGACTGCTAACTTCGCAAGAGCATAATTCCGTAAGTTTTCCATCAAATTTCATACTTTTGGTGTCATTATGATCAGGAAAAGATTCTCTATCTTTTCATAAGAAAAAATTATTTTTTTTTGTTTTTGAAATTTGGGCAACCTTGAGAACAAATCTCTGAGTTTGCCTGTCGACCCTGAAAGGGTTAAAAAAAAAAAAATTTTCTCAAAAAATTTGGGGCGCTAGGCGAGTGAACGTATATATACGTTTAGGGGTTAATAGACGTGTATTGCTGTCTGTTAGCGAGAAGCTGTGTGTAAACCACAGTGCTGTGTATTAGCCATAGAAACGTTTCTTCTAGGTGTGCTCTCATTCACTTTAATTTTATTGTGATTGTTTTAACATGCTTGTGTGTGTCAGAAAAAGCACTACTGGCACAGTAAATCCTTATTTGTTTTCTCCTCCCCCCCAGATGGAGGAACTGGGTGATTCGTGGCATCTTCACCTGGCTCATGATTGGCCTCTTCTGCTTGATCATATATGTGGGTCCACTGGCCCTCATGTTCACAGTAAGATCTTCCACATTATGCCATCAGACATCATATATGACATTAAAATGATCTGTTTTTAATTATTGGAATCGAATATTTATGGCAATAGTAGGTGCATAGTTCATACAAGGAAATGCAACGAGGTTACATTATCAAACAGTTGTCATAGTAATTTTGGGTACTGAGATAAGGTTGAATAATTATGCAGCTCTTCATTAATATATACACAGTATTATAGATGTGTAAAAATACTTCATATACAGTATTTGACATGGTGCACTGTTAATAAATTATGGATGCGAGTTCTTTTGTTTACAGTGCAAAACTAATTATTTGACTTCTGGCATTAGTGTGTATAACATTATCCATGGAAGCAAAGAAGGGAATGTTTGAAAGTATAGTGGTACCAACACTCTTATGTGGGTGTGAAGCTTAGGTTGTAAACACTGCAGTGAAGAGATGTCATGTCTAAGGGCAGTGTGTGGTGTAAATAATATGCAGAGAATTTGGAGTGTGGAAATTAGGAGGAGGTGTGGAGTTACTAAAAGTATTAGTCAGATGGTTTGGTCATTTAGAGAGAATGGAACAAAGTAGGATGACTTGGAGAGCGTATAAATCTGTAGGGAAAGGAAGGTGGGGTAGGGGTTGTTCTCGAAAAGGTTGGGGGGAGGGGGTGAAGGAGGGTTTTTTGGGTGAGGGGCTTGGACTTCCAGCAAGCAAGTGTGAGCATGTTAGATAGGAGTGATTGGAGACGAATGGTTTTTGGAACCTGATGAGCTCCTGGATTCAGGGAAACCGATTAGCCGGACTTGAGTCCTGGAAATGGGAAGACAATGCCTGCACTTTAACCCTTTGACTGTTTCTGATGTATATATACGTCTTACGAGCCAGTATTTTTTAGTAATTATACTCTGAAATTCTAGCTGCTTCAATTCAAGTGGGAGAAATCTGGTAGGCCAACATGTGAGAGAATGGATCTGTGTGGTCAATATGCACAGTATAAAAAAATTCCTGCAGCACACAGTGCATAATGGGGGAAAAAAAAACTCCGACCATGTTTTTGGATTAAAATCCCGACTTTGAGTTGTATTTTCGTATAGTATTTATGGGTGTATTCTCATTTTTTTGGTCTCATTTGATAGAATGGAAGACATATTACAGAAATAAGATGATTTTGATTGGTTTCACAATGAAAAGGATCTTGAAATTGAGCTCAAAGTAGCAGAAATGTTTGATTTTTGCCGATGTTCGAGTAAATAAATGATGTCATTGTCAAATAAGTGTCCGACTAGCCATTCTAATATGAATAGGTTGACATTATTTATACAGTGGACCCCCGGTTTGCGATGCCATCGGTATCCGATAAATCCGGTATTCGAAAAATTTAACGGATGTTTATATGCTATGTTTATATGCTACATGATATGTAACATGTTTCTTATATGATTTTGAAGAGAATATCATAGATGGATTAGTGAAAATGTCTATATTTATGTAAAATAAGACATTTAATGTGGCAAAGAGTGATTATTAACCCTTTGACTGTCGCAACCCCCAATCCTGAGGCGTCTCCTGGTGTCGCAAAATTTAAAAAAAAAAATTATTTTTTCGTATGAAATGATAGAGAATCTTTTCCCAATTGTAATGACACCAAAAAAAACAAAATTTGATGGAAAACTGACGGAATTATGCTCTCGCGAAGTTAGCGACCTCAGCGATGTTTACAAATCGGCGATTTCGCCAACTTTGAGCCCTATTTTCAGCTAATTCCATTGTTCCAGTTGCCCAAACTCATAGCTATTTCTTTAGAACTCCATTTTTTCTATCGATTGAGTACAAGAAACTGCCCATTTACCGATTTCAACTACCTAATAATGTGGTCAGAAATTTGGAATTTGGCCAATTTCATGAAAACTAAAAAATATGACAATTTCAAAATAGGGTCCAGAATGAACAATGCAGACATTCCTGGCTCTAAAATAACATTTTCTTTGTTCATCAGTCACATCTCCAGTCCCCTCTGATATTATTCTTGCTTTCTATTTTGAATTTTTATTCAAACAAAAAATAGAAGACTTACTATTATGCAGACTACTGCAATACTGTAATAATTGTATAAATAACATCAACCCATTCGTGACTGCATATTAGAATGGCTAATTGGACATTTATTGGAAAATGGCATCATTTGTTTACTTTTGAACATTGGCAAAAATCAAACATTTCCCCTACTTTGAGCTCCATTTCTAGGTTCTTTTTATAATAAAATCAATCAAAATCACCTCTATTTCTATAATATGTTTTCCATTCTGTCAAATGAGACCAAGAAAATGAGAATAAAACCATAAATACTATACGAAAATAGACCACAAAGTTGGCATTTTAATTAAAAAAAAAACGGTCAGAGTTTTTTTTTCTCATTATGCACTGTGTGCTCCAGGATTTTTTTTATATGGTGCACACTGACCACACAGACCCATTCTCTCACATGTGGGCCTACCAGCTTTCTCCTGCTTGATTTGAAGCCGCTAGAATTTATGAGTATATATACGTCAAACACGGTACCTCGTAAGACGTACATATACGGCCGCGACAGTCAAAGGGTTAAATATACATCATGTATAGCAAACATTGCATGTTTATATGCTATGCAACATGTTTCTTATATAATTTTGAAGAAGATGTAATAGATGGATTAATGAAAATGTCTATATTAACATAAAATAAGACATTTAATGTACCAGTGATTATTATTAAATATGCATCGCATATAAACATTGCATGTTTTCACATATACTATGTAATGTACGTATTTCTTTGGGCCCATGGTTGCTTATTTTGCAGTTGTACTCAATCAATAACCACAAAAAACAATGGATTATAGCAAAATGTTTGGATGAATGAGCAGAAGCTTCCTCACTTACCCAGAGACAAAGCCAAACTGACTCGCAAGCGGCCCCAGCCGGCGGATGGACGCCTCCCAAATGGCCAATAGCCAAATTAATGGCCGATAACTGGGCGCCGAAAAACTGGCTGATAACTGAGTTGGCCGATAACTGAACCGGCTGATAACCGGGGTCCACTGTACTGGCAAGTAATACGGATTTTCATTTGTTCAGGAATCAGACCTACAACTCTGCATCCTGTGTAATACCTGTTGGTTCGTGAGTGGTTCCGAGACAGAGACAAGCAGACAGACAGGGAGAGACAGGCGCACAGAAAGGCAGTTAAGCAGAGACAGAGTTAGACAGACACACAGATAGACAGGCAGACAGACCATGTTTATGTGTAACAGTGAGAACAAATAAAGCCAAGGCTCTCTGGAGCAGTGCACGATCATCAATATTAGAGTGCTGCATCATCAGCATTGGAGTGACACTCATCTTACACCATGCTTCAAGGGGGTTTCATGTACTCCAGCTTGTCTAAAACATTGCTAAGACCTATAATATATTTCTAGACAATAGTATGTGACCAAGGCAGGTGAAAATTTTCACCTGTCAGTTTGTTTGTGACTATTTGATTACTATTTCAGTACCTAATATTAGTGTCAGTAAGATTGGCTATAAAATAACAAGAACTACTATAAATTGTAATTATCTGAACATAAAAATTATATATTTATAGATGGGGTTGTAAGAGAAGTAAATACGAGAGTCTTGGCAAGAGGCGTGGAGTTAAAAGATAAAGGGGGAACACCGGGAGTGGGATTGAAAAAGTTCCCTTTGGGTGTTGAATTTTTGGGGGTTTGGGAATTTTTAAAAGAGGAAGGGGAATTTAAAAGGGGATTGGGGAAAATGAATTTTTGGGGGGTTGGCAAAAAAAATAAAAAATTAAAAAATTAAAACGGATGATTAAAAGGTTAGGGAGGATAAAAAAAAATTAAAGGTGAGAAAAAAATTGGATAGCGGGAAAAAAGGGGAAAAAGGAGGGGGGTTTTGGGGAAAAGGGCGTAAAAATGTAACAGTTTTTTGGGATGGAAAAGGGCCCGGGTGGATTTATGAAAAAGGGGAACATAAAAGGGGGGGATGAGGGGGAAAAAAGGGGTTTTGGTGAGGGTTTATTTAAAAAGCAGTGGAAAAAGTTTTTTCCCGGGGGGCCCAAAGAGAGGGAAAGAGGAAAATTTTTTTTCCCTTTTAAATGGGGGTTTAAGCAAAGGGGTTTATGAAATTTTTTTAATAAAAGGGTGGGGTTGTGGAAAAAATGCGGGGGTCTTGGGAAAAGGGGGGGGTTTTGAATAAAAATCCAAAAATTTATTTTGGAAGTTTTTGGAAAAGGTCCCGGGAAATTCCAAAAAGTTGCCAAAAGGGTAAAGGAAGGGTTTCAAAAAAGTTGGTTTAAACAGAAAGAAGGAGGGAAAAAAAAGAATGATTAAAAGATTGTATCAGTTGGGAGGGAAAAGGGGAAGGGGTGGTGGGGACCGGGAAATTTGGGGAGGGACGGGGGGGAGGGGTTGGAGGGTTGGAATTCCAAGAAGGGATGGTAAAAAAGGGGGTTTGATTGGGAATTTTGGGGAGACAAAGTTTTTCCCATCGAGGTTGTTGGAGTTTGAAAAATTTTAAAATTTGAAGGGGGTTTTTTCAGGGGAAAAGGCGGGGGCCCGGGGTTGCAGGCCCTGGAATTTTTTGGGAATTAATCCCTGAGAAGGAGGGGGTTAAAGGGTTGCGGTTTTAAAAAACTTTTGTGGGTAAAGGGGTTTAATTTTGGCAAGAAGGGGAAAAGGGGCGGAATGATTTAAATTTATTTATTAAAATTTTGGGCACCTAAAGGGGTTAAAAAAAATTAAAGTTGGGGGCGGATTCCAAAAGGGGCCTCTTTTTTGATGGGATTAAGGGCTTTTTTTTAAAATTTAACTTAAGGTTTGGGGGTTGAGAAATCCCCTTTTTATAAAAATTAAGGAAACCCCGGGGGGATTACCTAAAAGAAAAAGGGGCCCCCCAAAGGGGGGGGGGTTTAAGGGTTGCAGTTTTTAAAATTAAGTGTAAAGATTCGGGGTTTGTTTTTTTTAAAATATTAAAGTTTTTCTTTTTTTTTATGTTGGTAAGGGGTGGAAAAAAAAAAAAAAATTTATAAGGTTCAGTTTTTCCGTATTTTTTTGGGTTTGGGGGAAAAGTAAACTTAAAAGGGAGACTTGAATTTAAAAAAGGGTTAGGGGTTTCTTTTATATTTACAGGAAATAAAATTCCAGATTTTGGGGTTTTTAAATGTGCATTAAATTTTTTGCATAGGGGGTTGAGATGGACCCGGGAAAACATCAAAGAGTGTTTTTTGTGTTGTTTTAAAAGGTCATTTTTTCTTTTTGGGGGTTGGGGAAGGAGATGTTTGAGGGGGGTTTTAATGTCAGAGTTAAGTGTTTATGTATGAAAAGGTGCAGAAATAAGAAAGGATTTTTGTTTTTGGTGAGTGGGTTTTTGTGTTTTGAATATTGGGGGAAAGGGGTGCTCCCTTTTTAGTGAGAATTTGTTAATTTTAACTGCCCCTTTTGTTGGGTGGAATTGGGGTCTGAGATTTTTAAATTTTTTGTTAAACCCCCATGAAACAAATTCCATGGGTTGAGATGGGGGTTTAAATAAGAGATTTGATATAGGGCCGGGAGGGCTGACTGTGGAACATATCCCTTTTATCTTCGTTTAATTTGTCCTCGGGAAAATTTTTTAAAAAATTTGTTGAGGGTTTAAAAATTTTTTTTTTTTGGGGCCCCCCCTGCCTTGGTGGGAATCAGCCAGTGGATAATACAAGAAAAAAAAAAAAAAAGGGAATATCGGAAAACATTTCTGCAAGGGGTAGGATTTCCATTTTCCCGCAGAGGGAGCATCCAGCACAAAATTCGGGGGCCTTGTACCCTCGGTAAAAAATGACCAAAATTTTTTTTTTTGGACCTTATTTCACAGGGGAAAATTGCCCTCTATTTTTTTTTTTTTAAAAATATTCAGAGCACAAAGCCGTGAAAAAGTAGATCTATGTTTTAACATTTAACAGGTTAAACAAAAAGTTTTTTTTATTTTAATACATCAACCATTATAAATTTTTTTCCCTTTTAAATTTTTCAAGGGGTTTTAACTTGTAAAGGAATTTTTAATATTTTAAAAGCATAGTAAAACCCCGGGGTTTTTTCACTCTCTCTATTTTATGGGTTTTTTGGGGTTTTGGGGGCCCCCCCTTTTTTTTTGTGCAAAACTTTGTTCTGGATATTGGACCTTGATCCGGCAATCAACTATTATATGAAACCGGGCCCCCTTTGGGGCCCCACGGGCCACTACCCCTCTAAACTGCCTCTGCAGGGCCCGGAGTGACATTACTTGCGCTTTCCCCAAAACTTTTCTTTAAAAATCCCTTTTTTTTTTTGGTACTTATTTCAAAATTTGTGACTGCAAAATAACCCAAACCCATGGGCCGAAAGAAATTTTTCTAATCCCACCCAACCCTTTGATAAAGGGGAAATTGTGCCTTCTTCAGTGATGAAAGGTATTTTACGTTACAAAAACCCAGCAGGGGGCCCGATTAAGGTTTATAGTCCCAAGCCACTGATAAAGGGGACTTAACATTTGTAGCAATAAGTTAAGAAAATTAACGTAGAAAAAGGGGACAATACAAAATTTTAACCCTTTCCATTTTTTGTTTGAAGAAATATATTGCCACTGAGAACACTGCTGCCACCACCATCACTCCACATACATAATGACATTCATTCTTTGAGTATAAAATCATTTTTTTATGTTATTTAAAATTGGGTTTTGTCATATTAGATCAATTGCGAAAAAGGGTAAATAAGCCCAAAGTTGATATTATTTTCATATTCTTTAAAAAAAATTAAATTTTTTTTGGGGGGTTTTTTTTTTAAAATTTTTCGTTCTGGAAAATGGGATTTAATCTTTATTTAAATTAATTTCCTAAGGAAAAATTTTATTCAAGGGGTTTTTCATTTTTTTCGGGTTTTATTTTTAAACCCATTCCTGGGGAAGGGGAAAGTTTTTGAAAACCCGTGGGTTTCCCCCCAAAAAATCCAAATGGCCCCCTTTTTACCAAAAATAAAAAGCTTGGTTTTTTCCACCCCCCCCCGGGGGGCTGTTTTAAAGGGTTTTTTTATTTTTTTCAAATTTTTAGTGGTTGGAAAGGCTATTTACTTTTTTCAAAAAAATTTTTCTTTTTTGATGTTTGGAAACAATTTTTGGGGTTGTTTCCCAAAGTTTTTTTTAAAAAGTGGTTTTTTTTGAATTTTGGGAAACAAACTTGGGGGAGGGGAAAAAAGGGGAAGGGAAACAATTTTTTTGTGCTTTTTTAAAAAAGTGGGAAAAGGAAAAAAACAAACCCCCAAACCCAATAGAGATATCTTTTTTTTCTTTTAACACACCGGGCCCTTTTTTCCCCTCGAGGCAGGGTTTGGCCCCCCAAAAAGGAAAAAAAGAAAGTTTCTCCTTTCAAAAATTTTTGTAATATATCAGGGGAAGGGGGTTTTTAGCCCCCCCTTTCTTTGGCATTTTAGGTCCCCCCTTACAAAAATCATTGGGTTACGGAGGAAAAATTCTTTTCATTTCCCCCTGGAGATAAGAAAGGGAAAAAAAACAAGAAAATAAAAAGAAAAAAGAAAACCCAGAGGGGTTGTTTTATACTCTTTTTCATGTATGTGGAATGTGACCTAAGTGTTAAATTAAAGTACAAGACGTTTCCTGAAATCTTGCTTTTTCTGAGACAAAAAAAAGGGCACCCGCAATCCTACCATCATGTAAAAAATTAAGGGTTTCGTTTTTTCAAATCCAAATTTGGAAGGGCGGTAGTACCCCCCTGGGGGGTTTTTTGTCTACCAACCTACTACCTAGGTAAAAAGAAAAATACCCCTTTAATTCCTGAATTTTTTTTATTCCAGTTGTATGTGACTAAAATCTTAAATAAAAAACTGGGTTTTTTTTGATGAAAATCTTATATTTTTTGTTTGACTTTACAAAAATTAAATGGTGCAAGTGTGGTGCTTCAAGGGGGTCAAAAACATTGGGGTTTCCCAGTTTTACCGAAAAGCATGGGCTCTCCTGGTTTTAGATTCTCTTCCCGGTGGGTTCCCAATTTAAAAAGTATTAATTCCCTTTACGGAAGTCTCTATTGCTGATTACTTTTTGTGGTTTTTTTTTTCTAAGAGTGAAAATTTACTTCTGATTCTTTTTCATTGTAAAAAATAAAGGGATTGTGTAAATTTTTAAGCTTGCTGAAGAACAGTTTAAAAAAGATAAAAAAACATTGTTAAATATTTAAAATATATTTGGCCCCTATTTGGTCCGGGGGATGATGGGGTTTTTACATATTCAAGAGGGTTTTACCCCTCTTAAATTAGGGTGACCTCGGGAAGCCCCCTAAATTTCTCTCCCCAACAGGGGTTTGCAAATGTCACAGGCATGTTTGTTTAAAAAAAAAAATTTTGATTTCAGGTCGGCCCTCAGTCCCCGTCATCTTTGGCCCCAATTCTGGCTAGCATAATTTTTAAATTTCAGGGTCGCCACAACCCAAACCCGTGCATAAGGTTTTTTCCAAATTTTTTTTTCTTCATTTATTGTTATAAAAATGCTTAAATTTTAGCCCTAGCCCCCTTTTCAATGAAAAAAAGAATGCTTCCCCCATTTCGTAAAGCACATACACATACATTGTTCATAAAAGGGAAGGTGGTTTTAAAGCCATTTTTTTTTTTTTGGTTACCAAGCCCCTCTCGTGATGGGAGGGGAAAGCTTTTTTATGCTAATATAAACGATCTAATATGAAAAAAATAAACAAATTTAAAATAACATAAAAACTTGGGGAAATACTCCAGAATGAATAATTTTTTGGGATAATTTCCCAAACAGATTGTGGAGGGATAAGAGGAAAATGGGGTATAAGTACCTCCTCCCATTTCCCCGTCTTGGGGGCTTTTGTTAGAGAAAATTTAAGGGGTAGAAAGGGCTAATTGTGATATACACTTGTAATGCACCATAAAACTGAAACAAAAAAGCTATTTTCTCTGCATAGATTATCATACATAGCAGTAATGTATATGTGTAGAGAACCTAGGATAACCCAAAAGAGTCAAAGGGACTTATTTCCAGTACCTGGCTTGGGCTTGAGATACAGTGGAACCTCAAAAATCGAACGTATCACATATCGAACATTTCGAAAATAGGACCATTTTTTCGGACAAACTGTGTCCCTATTATCGAACGCGCCCCTATTTTCGGACTGCCGGGTACGGGACCTGTCTGCCGCCCGCTCTGTCCACGTCCCCGCGCAGGCGCCGTGAGCAGTCTAGCTTTGTTTATGCTTGAGTGAACACTAACCTGCGCTGTCATTCACGAATTTTACGATTATTTCGTTGTGTTTAGTGCTTGTGGGACTGAAATAAGCTGCCATGGGCCCAAAGAAACTTGCTAGTGGTACCCCTGTGGTAAAGAAAGTGAGAAACACCATAGATGTGAAGAAGGAAATAATACAGAAATATAAGAGTGGTGTGAGACTTGTTGAGTGAGACTTGTAGCTACATTTAGAGTAAGAGGTAGATGGGAAAAGAGGAAAACGGCAACAACAAGAGGGAGGTGAAAGTGTATAAACAAAGGGAGTAGGAAGTTCGGGTGAGATATAAGCAACTGTTGGCAGAAAGGTGGGCTGGTGCAAGTATGAGTAGTGGGGGGGTTGAAGAGGGTTGGAATAGTTTTAAAAATGCAGTATTAGAATGTGGGGCAGAAGTTTGTGGTTATAGGAGGAAAGAGGAGTGATTGGTGGAATGATGAAGGGTGTGATAAGAGAGAAAAAGTTAGCTTATGAGAGGTTTTTACAAAGCAGAAGTGTTATAAGAAGAGTACATTATATGGAGAGTAAAGAAAGGTGAAGAGAGTGGTGAGAGTGCAAAGGAGAGCAGATGATAGTGAGAGAGAGGTGCTGTCAAGAAATTTTAATGAAAATAAGAAAAAATTTTGGAGTGAGTTAAACAAGTTAAGAAAGCCTAGGGAATGAATGGATTTGTCAGTTAAAAACAGAGTAGGGAAAATAGATGGGGAGAGGGAGGTATTAGGTAGATGGCGAGAATATTTTGAGGAACTTTTAAATGTTGAGGAAGAAAGGAAGGCAGTAATTCCATGCACTGGCCAGGGAGGTATACCATCTTTTAGGAGTGTGGGGGAGGTACGTGAGGCATTACGGAGAAAGAAAGGGGGTAAAGCAGCTGGAACTGACGGGATCATGACAGAAATGTCAAAAGCAGGGGGAGATATAGCGTTGGAGTGGTTGGTATTTTTGTTTAATAAATGTATAAAAGAGGGGAAGGTACCTATGGATTGGCGGAGAGCATGTATAGTTCCTCTATATAAAGGGAAGTGGGACAAAAGAAATTGTAAAAATTATGGAGGAATAAGTTTACTGAGTATATACCAGGAAAAGTGTACGGTAGGGTTATAATTGAAAGAATTAGAGGTAAGACAGAATGTAGGATTGTGGATGAGCAGGGAGGTTTTAGAGTGGGTAGGGTGTGTGTAGATCAAATTGAAGCATATATGTGAACAGTATTTAGATAAAGGTAGGGAAGTTTTTATTGCATTTATGGATTTAGAAAGGCATGTGATAGAGTGGATAGGGGAGCAATATGGCAGATGTTGCAAGTATATGGAATAGGTGGTAAGTTACTAAATGCTGTAAAGAGTTTTTATGAGGATAGTGAGGCTCAGGTTAGAGTATGTAGAAGAGAGGGAGACTACTTCCCGGTAAAAGTAGGTCTTAGACAGGGATGTGTAATGTCACCGTGGTTGTTTAATATATTTATAGATGGCGTTGTAAAAGTAGTAAATGCTAGGGTGTTCGGTAGAGGGGTGGGATTAAATTATAGGGGATCAAATGCAAAATGGGAATTGACACAGTTGCTTTTTGCTGATGATACTGTGCTTATGGGAGATTCTAAAGAAAAATTGCAAAGGTTAGTGGACGAGTTTGGGAGTGTGTGTGAAGGTAGAAAGTTGAAAGTGAACATAGAAAAGAGTAAGGTGATGAGGGTATCAAATGATTTAGACAAAGAAAAATTGGATATCAAATTGGGGAGGAGTAGTATGGAAGAAGTAAATGTTTTCAGATACTTGGGAGTTGACGTGTCGGCGGATGGATTTATGAAGGATGAGGTTAATCATAGAATTGATGAGGGAAAAAAGGCGAGTGGTGAGTTGAGGTATTTGTGGAGACAAAAAACGTTATCTATGGAGGCAAAGAGGGAATGTATGAAAGTATAGTAGTACCAACACTCTTATATGGGTGTGAAGCTTGGGTTGTGAATGCAGCAGTGAGGAGGCGGTTGGAGGCAGTGGAGATGTCCTGTCTAAGGGCAGTGTGTGGTGTAAATATGCAGAAAATTCGGAGTGTGGAAATTAGAAGGTGTGGAGTTAATAAAAGTATTAGTCAGAGGGCTGAAGAGGGGTTGAGGTGGTTTGGTCATTTAGAGAGAATGGATCAAAGTAGAATGACATGGAGAGCGTTTAAATCTGTAGGGGAATGGAGGCGGGGTAGGGGTCGTCCTCGAAAAGGTTGGAAGGAAGGGGTAAGGGAGGGGCTTGGACTTTCAGCAGGCATGCGTGAGCGTGTTCGATAGGAGTGAATGGAGACAAATAGTATTTGGGACCTGACGATTTGTTGGAGTGTGAGCAGGGTAATATTTAGTGAAGGAATTCAGGGAAACCGGTTATTTTTATATAGCCAGACTTGAGTCCTGGAAATGGGAATACAATGCCTGCATAAAAAGGAGGGGTTCGGGATTTGGCATTTTGGGAGGAATTTTGTGTATTTTTTATGTTATGCTTCTAAACAGTTGTTTTTCTGGCCCTCGCAAAAACAGTGTTTGTGTGAGGAGGGAAAAGTTTTTTGAATGTTTTTAAAAGTATTTTTTTTTTGGGGTCCCCTGCCCAGTGGGGATGGCTGACTTTTTAAAAAAAAAAAAATTTCCCATTTTATCGTTGATACCAAAAACAGCTAAAAAAACCCATGAAAACCATGCATTGGGGGGCAAGTTTTTTTTTTTTCCCATGCACACTCATACAAAAACCCCTTTTCCTTCATGTTAGAAAAAATAAATTTCCACTCACATTTTTTGAGGGACCCAAACTAAGATGTAATTCTGAGCAACACTGGCAATAGAGCTATGGGGGAGTGACCAGGTCGTGGAGTGTGCTGGCGTCAGTGACAGGGTTAATGTGAGTGACGCGGTTTTGTGAGTACAGTGAAATTTTTTTAAAGTAGTTTTAAAAAACCGGCACCAAAAGGGGAAACAAGTGCATATTATTCAGTCTGTTATAGCTATCAGACTGATAGGCCTAGCCCTTTATTGGTTCTGGAACTTCAGCCCCAAAAATACAGCGTATTTTTTCTTTTTCAAACGGACCATGCGGTGGTTGATTGCTTATCACCGCTTTACATTTTTTACGATGTATATTTTTGGGCTTTTTTGGGGTTTGTGCTCCCCCTCAAAAAGCGGTTTACATGCGCGTTTTCTCTTTTGCCTGGCACTGTTGCTCTCGATTGGGTGCCCCAGAGTTACCTTTTATATAACTTTTTCCCGGAGATCGGGTTCTTTGAAAACTTCTCCATGATTGTCTCAAGTGTCTGGCGTACATTTTTGGGATTCTTCTTTGGCGACCCCACTTTTTTGCTTTGCCCTAAAAAACCCGGGGAAAGGCTTCATGGGTGGGGGATTTCAACATAGTCCTTGGGTGGTGGTAAGTCTTTTGTTTTTTGCTTTTTTAATTTTTGTTGCCTTTGTTGTCTTTTTAACGACTGTTTTTATTTTTGACACTGGGGTTGTTGGGGTTAGTGTCCTACAGAAATTTACCTTCCTGTGAAATATGACTTTTTGTTTTAAAATTTTGGAAATGGAAATTAGTTTTTAAAATTTTTTACGTGTTGTATCTGAAGTCAATGCCTTAAAATTTTTTGACTGTTAGAATTTTTAAATGGTTAGACATCAGTGTCTTGTATTTGAGTTTAAGGAAGTTGCAGTGTGACCCGAGACTTTTTATACCCTATTAAAGGAAAAACAAGAAAAAAACAAGTGCATTGGTAATACTTACCTGGAAGTCATTGAGGGTGTTTGGGGGGGCGAAACCCCAAGGCCCAATCCTAGACCGGCCTCCGGGGATCAGGCCTGATCAACCCGGTGTTACTGCTGGGCCCCCTTAGCCCAACATATGAAACACAGCCCGGCTGATAAGTGTGGTTTTTGTTCACTTTTTTTTTCTTGTGGTATTTTACACGTGGGAAATTCAGTGTATGGAAATTAAAAAGTAGTGCAGAGTCACTAAGGAATAATTTAGAGGTTGAGGGGGGACTGTTGAGGTTGGGATGGGAGTAAGAGGGTGGAGAGAGTAAGAGTGAGGAGGGTGTGTTTCATAGTGGGGGCGGTAGGAGGGGTTTTAGCTTTTTCAAAAATGTTGGGGGGGGCATTATAGGGGTCGAGCATAAAACGGTTTACTTGTTTTTGTGTTAGTGAATGGAAACAGTTTTTTTTAAAGGGTTGGTGTTAGAAGTTAATAAGGTAACAATGTAAAGGGAAATTGGGGAAAAACCCGTTTACCAACTTGTATCCCCGGAGTTTAAGTAAATGAAAAAAGTAAGAGTGGGAAAGGTGGGTATAAAATAGGGCCCGCATTCATGGGCCTTTAGGGTTATTTGTTCATTCTTAAAATAATAATGTAAATAATTTTAGTTAAATATTTTGTCATTCATTTAGTATTCATTTTGAAGGAAGGCCACATGCAGGTTTCTCTTATTTTTATTTTTGCCACAACATCCATCTTTCATCAAGGTAGGTTGACCAAAAAGACATCAAGGTAGGGTGACAAAAAAGGAAACACTCAGTGGTGTCGTAATGGTGGGGGGGGGGGGGGGAGCCCACCCTGGGTGACACCATTTAGGGGGGTGTCACCATAGAGCCTCAGAAGGTGACACTAATGCACAAATAGTGCTGCAGCAACATAAAAGAAAAATCCTTCGTTTCTATATAGCCTAATATATGATTACAGAGTACAAATAGTCCTATATAGAGAAAATCATTGATTTTGGAGATGTGATAGATGATATTGCAGGACTGAAGGCAAGGAAATGTAAGATCAGATTCACTGAGATATTACCTGTACTCAGGTCAAATTAGAACTAGTGTTTCTCTGATATTGTAATGTTTTTCTTTATTTTTCAAGTTTTTTTTTATTAATGCTTTGTTGAAGATGAATAAATGTCGGCTCTGTTGCCTGTACTCAAAGTGGTATTTGAGTTTGTTTCCTAAATATTACTATGATTATTTATTTTATCATTAACCCTTAAACTGTCCAAGCGTAGATCTACATTCGCGTGCATAGCACTCCGAACGTAGATCTAACTTTTTTTTTACTTAAAGAATGTAAAATCGAACGTAGATCTATGTTCGGAGTGCTGTACGAGCAAACGTAGATCTACGTTTGGCAGTTTAACCCTTTGACTGTCGCAACCCCCAATCCTGAGGTGTCTCCTGGTGTCGCAAAATTTAAAAAAAAAATTATTTTTTCTTATGAAATGATAGAGAATCTTTTCCCGATTGTATTGACACCAAAAAAACGAAATTTGATGGAAAAGTGACTGGAATTATGCTCTCACGAAGTTAGCAACCTCGGCGCTGTTTACAAATCGGCGATTTCGCCCACTTTGAGCCCTATTTTCGGCTAATTCCATTGTTCCAGTCGCCCAAATTCATAGCTATTTCTTTAGAACTCCATTTTTTCTATCGATTGAGTACAAGAAACTGCCCATTTACCGATTTCAACTACCTAATAATGTGGTCAGAAATTTGCAATTTGGCCAATTTCACAAAAACTAAAAAATATGACAATTTCAAATAAGGTCCAGAATGAACAATGCAGACATTCCTGGCTCTAAAATGACATTTTCTTTGCTCATCAGTCATGTCTCCAGGCCCCTCTGATATTACTCTTGCTTTCTATTTTGAATTTTTATTCAAACAAAAAATAGAAGACTTACTATTATGCAGACTACTGCAATACTGTAATAATTGTATAAATAACATCAACCCATTCATGACTGCATATTAGAATGGTTAGTTGGACATTTATTGGACAAAGGCATCATTTGTTTACTTTTGAACATTGGCAAAAATCAAACATTTCCCCTACTTTGAGCTCCATTTCCAGGTTCTTTTTATAGTAAAATCAATCAAAATCACCTCTATTTCTATAATATGTTTTCCATTCTATCAAATTAGACCAAGAAAACGAGAATACAACCATAAATACTATACGAAAAGAAACTACAAAGTCGGCATTTTAATTAAAAAAAACGGTCAGTTTTTTTTTTCTCATTATGCACTGCGTGCTCCAGGATTTTTTTTATATGGTGCACACTGACCACACAGACCCATTCTCTCACAGGTGGGCCTACCAACTTTCTCCTGCTTGATTTGAAGCCGCTAGAATTTATGAGTATATATAAGTCAAACACGGTACCTCGTAAGACGTATATATACGGCTGCGACAGTCAAAGGGTTAAGGGTTAATAAAGTTGAGAAGTAGTATTCTGTTCGGTTTATGGCCCTGAACCCTTTCAGGGTCGGCAGGCCCACTCCTAAACTGTTCTCAGGGTTGGAAATTAAAAAAAAAAAAAAAAAAAAAATCTTATGAAATAATAGAGAATCATTTCCTGATATAATGACACCAAAATTATGAAATTTGATGGAAAACTTATGGAATTATGCTCTCGCGAAGTTAGCGGTCTTGATGATGTTTACGCATCGGCGATTTCGCCCACTTTGAGCCCTATTTTCGGCCAATTCCAATGTACCAGTCAACAAAAATCATAACTATTTCACTAGAACTCCATTTTTTCTATCGAATGAGTACAAGGAACCACCCACTTACAGATTTCAACTATCCAATAAAATGGTCCAAAATTGGCAATTTTGCCAATTTCACACAAATTTCAAAAGATGCCAATTTCCAAATAGGGTCCAGAAAAAACAAGGCAGACATTCCTGGCACTAAAATAAAATTTCCTCTGTTCATTAGTCATGTCCCCAGGCCTCTGTTACATTTCTTTTGCTTTCCACTTTGAATTTTTATTCTCACAAAAAATAGAAGATTTACTGTTATGCAGACTACTGCATTGGTGTAGAAATGGTATAAATTATATCAGCACACTTGTGAAAGAATGTTAGACTCACCAGTTGACGTGTATTGGACGCATGGCTTGATTTTTTTTACTTTTGAACTTTGGCAAAAATCAAACATTCCTACTACTTTGAGCTCAATTTCAAGGTACTTTTCATTGTGAAACCAATAAAAATCATCTCAGTTTTCGTAATATGTCTTCCATTCTATAAATTGAGACCAGGAAAAATAGAATACACCCATAAATAGCATACGAAAATACGCTGCAAAGTTGTTTTAAATCAAAAACATGGTCAGAGGTTTCTTTTTCTTATTATGCATTGTGTGCTGCAGGATTTTTTTTATACTGTGCACACTGACCACATAGACCCATTCTTTCATATGTAGGCCTACCAGCTTTCTCTCGCTAGATTTGGAGGCGCTGAAATTTACGCGTACTAGTACGGCACCAACCCTGGCATGCAAGCCGTACTAGTACGGCACCAACCCTGAAAGGGTTAAACGTTCTCTTTGCTAAACATTTGTCATTGGTCATGCAGTAGTGATGTAACTGGAGTTAACTCCCCCATTCCCCCACCCTTTGATTTCATAGGAGGTGACACCAAAGATGCCACCCCAGGTGACACCAACCCTAGCAACACCACTGGCAACACTTGTCGTTATTCAATAGTTATCTGCCAGAAGTGTGCTGACATCATACATGACATGACTGTTTGAGCTGCAGTATTGCTGCCCCTTGTTTATAGTGCACCAGGAGTATCTCTGAAAAAGTCAAAGATTACTTTGTTATATTAACTATATTTAGATAAGGCTAAAGAGGTCTTTGTGGCATTTATGGATTTGGAAAAGGCATATGACAGGGTGGATAGGGGGGCAGTGTGGCAGATGTTGCAGGTGTATGGTGTAGGAGGTAGGTTACTGAAAGCAGTGAAGAGTTTTTACGAGGATAGTGAGGCTCAAGTTAGAGTATGTAGGATAGAGGGAAATTATTTCCCTGTAAAAGTAGGCCTTAGACAAGGATGTGTGATGTCACCATGGTTGTTTAATATATTTATAGATGGGGTTGTAAGAGAAGTAAATGCGAGGGTCTTGGCAAAAGGCGTGGAGTTAAAAGATAAAGAATCACACATAAAGTGGGAGTTGTCACAGTTGCTCTTTGCTGATGACACTGTGCTCTTGGGAGATTCTGAAGAGAAGTTGCAGAGATTGGTGGATGAATTTGGTAGGGTGTGCAAAAGAAGAAAATTAAAAGTGAATACAGGAAAGAGTAAGGTTATGATGATAACAAAAAGATTAGGTGATGAAAGACTGGATATCAGATTGGAGGGAGAGAGTATGGAGGAGGTGAATGTATTCAGATATTTGGGAGTGGACGTGTCAGCGGATGGGTCTATGAAGGATGAGGTGAATCATAGAATTGATGAGGGGAAAAGGGTGAGTGGTGCACTTAGGAGTCTGTGGAGACAAAGAACTTTGTCCTTGGAGGCAAAGAGGGGAATGTATGAGAGTATAGTTTTACCAATGCTTTTATATGGGTGTGAAGCATGGGTGATGAATGTTGCAGTGAGGAGAAGGCTGGAGGCAGTGGAGATGTCATGTCTGAGGGCAATGTGTGGTGTGAATATAATGCAGAGAATTCGTAGTTTGGAAGTTAGGAAGAGGTGCGGGATTACCAAAACTGTTGTCCAGAGGGCTGAGGAAGGGTTGTTGAGGTGGTTCGGACATGTAGAGAGAATGGAGCGAAACAGAGTGACTTCAAGAGTGTATCAGTCTGTAGTGGAAGGAAGGCGGGGTAGGGGTCGGCCTAGGAAAGGTTGGAGGGAGGGGGTAAAGGAGGTTTTGTGTGCGAGGGGCTTGGACTTCCAGCAGGCATGCGTGAGCGTGTTTGATAGGAGTGAATGGAGACAAATGGTTTTTAATACTTGACGTGCTGTTGGAGTGTGAGCAAAGTAACATTTATGAAGGGGTTCAGGGAAACCGGCAGGCCGGACTGGAGTCCTGGAGATGGGAAGTACAGTGCCTGCACTCTGAAGGAGGGGTGTTAATGTTGCAGTTTAAAAACTGTAGTGTAAAGCACCCTTCTGGCAAGACAGTGATAGAGTGAATGATGGTGAAATTTTTTCTTTTTTGGGCCACCCTGCCTTGGTGGGAATCGGCCAGTGTGATAATAAAAAAAATAAAATTAACTAAAATTCTTCACTATTTACCCTTTGACTGTTTTGGTCGTATATATACGTCTTACGAGCCACCATGTTTGACACATATATACTCATAAATTCTGGTGGCTTCAAATCAAGCAGGAGAAAGCTGGTAGGCCCACATGTTAGAGAATGGGTCTGTGTGGTCAGTGTGCACCATATAAAAAAATCCTGCAGCTCGCAGTGCATGAGAAAAAAAACTGAGTTTTTTTTTTAATTAAAATGCCGACTTTGTGGTCTATTTTCCTATAGTATTTATGGTTGTATTCTTGTTTTCTTGATCTCATTTGATAGAATGGAAAACATATTATAGAAATAGAGGTGATTTTGATTGGTTCTACCATGAAAAGAACCTTTAAATGGAGCTCAAAGTAGGGGAAATGTTTGATTTTTGCTGATGTTCAAAAGTAAACAAATGATGTCATTTTCCAATAAATGTCCAAGTAGCCATTCTAATATGCATTCATGAATGGGTTGACATTATTTACACAATTATTGCAATATTGCAGTAGTCTGTATAACAGTAAATTTTTTGTTTGAATAAAAATTCAAAATAGAAAGGAAGAGTAATATCAGAGGGGCCTGGAGACATGACTGATGAACAAAGAAAATGTTATTTTAGAGCCAGGAATGTCTGCATTGTTCATTCTGGACCCTATATTGAAATTGTCATATTTTTTAATTTTTGTGAAATTAGCCAAATTGCCAATTTCTGACCGCGTTATTGGGCAGTTGAAATTGGTAAATGGGCAGTTTCTTGTACTAAATCACTATAAAAAATGGAAGTTCTAAAGAAATAGCTATGAGTTTGGTCGAATGGAACAACGAAATTAGCCGAAAATAGGGCTCAAAGTGGGCGAAATTGCAGATTCGTAAACATGACCAAGGTCGCTAACTTTGCGAGAGCGTAATTCCATCAGTTTTCCATAAAATTTCATTCTCTTGGTGTCATTACAATCAGGAAAAGATTCTCTATCATTTCATTAGAAAAAATCATGTTTTTTTTCGGATATTTTGCAACACCAGGAGACACCTCAGGATTTGGGGTTGCGACAGTCAAGGGGTTAACTGTTAATTATGAACAAGAATATGGTATTGAAAGACTTCAATAAGTGAATAATTATTTTCTAGTTTGGAAAGTTTCAGAATTTGGGCAGTTAACCAATTGTGAATATTGAGTTATGTATTTGTTTGGAGATTACAGTGTTTTCTTGTGTAATTACTGTAACTTCTTCATTGAGTACATTCCTTGTAGTATTTCTCATTGAACAGCTGTCGTATGTGATGTGCCAGTATCCATTCTTTGTGTGTCCAGTGGAGTACAGTGAATCTGAAGATAACTTTAATTACACCTGTGATCCATCTCCAATATTCAGACCTCAGGAATACAGCTTACCTGAGACTCTGGCTAACTTATCAGCTTTGGTAAGTTGAATTTATTGTTTCACTGAATTCTTTACATGCTGTTCTATTAGTTTTTTTTTTTAACACAATGGTTGTCTCTTGTCTTTTTTCTTATGTTTACATTAGAACCCTCAAGGTCTTGAGGGTTAGGTTGGAGCTCATCACATATTTGAAATTCACAGATATCACTTTTTTTTTTTTTTTTTTTTTTTTTACAGAATTGGATTTAGTTTTTTTTTATTTTAGAGATCATACAGTCTCTCTTCGCTTATGTTTGTCAGGCCAGCTGCCTCAAGTTCTGCATAGTATTATCCATCTAGAGTACTTTTTAATGAGTTAATTAACTTACACAAGTTTCTATATAACTAGGTATTATCAGCCTTGATTATGTGTGGATATCTTTGTTTTGGTCATCTGTGCCTCCCAATTGAGTCACCTCACAATGATGGTAGGGTTTGAGCAATACATGTGCACTTTTTTTTTTGTTGTTGTTTGCCAGCACCACCTTGGCCGTATAACACACCATTTCCGATCCTTGCCATGCCACCACCATAGCCATAGATGTGTGCGTGCAGTGTCACAAAGTCTCTTGCCGATTGTTATCTTGGTGTCCACTATGCCTGTCTGTCCCCCTCTTCCTAAGCCTGACCTGTAATGAACTGCTGCTAGCAAAGCATATAGCTGATGCCACACATTGTCTTCCTGCTGGGTCTAGCCCTGGCTTTCTCTTCTCCAGCCCTCTCTCTTTCCCTCCACAGTTCTTCTGCTCTCCCCATTCCCATTCACCCATAATGGGTCCTTACCTGAGATTATGTAAATAAAGAGCAGCATACCTTTGCCCGCACCAGACTAAGAGACTAACGACTCCCTTCCCTCTTGCTTATATTTTTTTTTCTTTTTTATAACAAGTTAACTGTCTCCCACCGAGGCAGGGTGACCCAAAAAGAAAGAAAATCCCCAAAAAGAAAATACTTTAATCATCATTCAACACTTCACCTCATTCATACATAATCACTGTTTTTGCAGAGGTGCCCAGAACACAACAGTTTAGAAGCATATATGTATAAAGATACACAACATATCCCTCCAAACTGCCAATATCCCAAACCTCTCCTTTAAAGTGCAGGCATTGTACTTCCTATTTCCAGGACTCAAGTTCAGCTATATAAAATAACCAGTTTCCCTGAATCCCTTGACTAAATATTACCCTGCTCACACTCCAACAGCTCGTCAGGTCCCAAATACCATTCGTCTCCATTAACTCCTATCTAACACGCTCACGCATGCTTGCTGGAAGTCCAACCCCCTCGCCCACAAAACCTCCTTTACCCCCTCCCTCCAACCTTTTCGAGGACTACCCCTACCCTGCCTTCCTTCCCCTACAGATTTATACGCTCTCCACTTCATTCTACTTTGATCCATTCTCTCTAAATGACCAAACCACCTCAACAACCCCTCTTCAGCCCTCTGACTGATACTTTTATTAACTCCACACCTTCTAATTTTCACACTCCGAATTTTCTGCATAATATTTACACCTGGCTGGGAATCGAATATTTACCAAAAGTCATATATGGCTAACCCAAGCCAGGTACTAGAAATAAGCCACTTTGTCTGACTTTTTTGGGTTATCCTAGGTTCTCTACACACATGCTGCTATGTGTGATAATCTATGAAGAGGAAATAGCTTTTTTGTTTCAGTTTTATGGTGCAGTACGAGTGTATATCACAGCCATGTGCTGTTATTCATGTGCTACACTCCGTTTTCTCTAATATAAGCCCCTAAGACAGGGATAGGAGAATGGTACTTGTATCCCATGTCCTCTTCATACCTCTGTTGAACTGCTCGGTATTATGCCAAATATTATTCATTCTGGAGTATTTAACATGTTTATGTTATTTATATTGTTTATTATGTCATATTAGATCAATTGTGATAGGCAATAAGCTGTAGTGTTGATATTAGCATAATAATAAAGCATATTCCCCTGCATCACGAGACCGAGCTCATGGCAACTGACAGTGGCTTCAAAGCCACCTTATCTTTAATGGACAATGTACTGTGTAGGTGCTTTACAGAACGAAAAGCATTTTTTATTCATTGGAACCATGGCTAGGGCTAAAAGTAAGCAGGTTATAACAATAAATGGAGAAAAAGAAATTAGAATGACTTATGCAGTAAGTAGCACAACCAAACAGTACCAGCAGGTTGGTGTGGCAACCCTGGAAATTTAAAATTATGCTAGCCAAATTAGTGCCGAATAACTGATTGCCGGATTTGTGATGGCAGACCTGTATTTCATTACAGGTTCGCCATCATAAATCCAGCATCATTGGTACCTGTAGTGTGCTGGATTATTGAGTTTGCCGGATTACAGAGTGGTTAGGTTAGAATACACTTAATGAAGTTAGCCAACTTGACTTACACAAGAAAGTTCATTGAACATTGGCGAAAATCTAACATTTCCGCTACTTTGAGCTCCATTTCAAGATATTTTTCATTGTGAAAACAATAAAAAATATATCTATTTCTGTAATATAGCTTCCATTCTATCAAATGAGACCAAAAAAAAATGAGAATACAACCATAAAAACCATACAAAAATATACCGCTAAGGGGCGGCTAATGGCTGAGAAGTGAACTCCGTTTTATGGTCCAATTTCTTTAATTTTTCGTATACCTTAAGAAGTATCTTTCCATCATACATTGCCCGAGTTTCAATAAGATAGCCCAAAAAACAACTGAAAAAAAAATATTTACCCAAAATCATATATGGCAAGCCCAAGCCAGGTACTAGAAATAAGCCACTGACTTTTTTTGGGTTATGCCGCTATGCTATGTATGATAATCTGTGTAGAGAAAATAGCTTTTTTGTTTCAGTTTTGTGGTGCATTACAAGTATATCACAGCCCTGTGCTATACAGTGGACCCCCGCATAACGATATTAATCCGTTCCTGAGAGCTCATTGTTATGCGAAATTATCGTTATGCGAATGAATTTTCCCCATAAGAAATAATGGAAATCAAATTAACCCGTGCAAGACACCCCAAAGAATGAAAAAAAATTTTTTTACCACGTGAAATATTAATTTTAATACACACAAACTGAAAAAGGCATGCACAATTACATGACACTTACCTTTATTGAAGATCTGGTGATGATTGATGGGATGGGAGGAGGAGAGAGTCTTAGTGTTTAGAAGGGGAATCCCCTTCCATTAAGACTTGAGGTGTCATGTCCTTTTCTGGGGTTACTTCCCTTCTTCTTTTAATGCCACTAGGACCAGCTTCAGAGTCACTGGACTTCTGTCACACAACATATCTGTCCATAGTGGCCTGTACCTCTCGTTCCTTTATGACTTCCCTAAAGTGTTTCACAACATTGTCAGTGTAATAGTCACCAGCACGGCTTGCAATAGCTGTGTGAGGGTGATTTTCATCCATAAAGGTTTGCACTTTCAGCCACATTGCACAGATTTCCTTAATCTTTGTAGTAGGCAACTTCTTCAATTTCTCTCTCCCCTTCTCCGAACCAGTTTCCTCAGGTCTGGCCTCTTGCTGTTGAAGTTGATCTAGCAGCTCATCAGTGGTTAGTTCTTCATTGTCCTCCTCCACCAACTCTTCCACATCATCCCCACTAACCTCCAACCCCAAGGACTTTCCCCAATGCCACAATGGATTCCTCAACTGGCATACTCCTCTCAGGGTTAGCCTGAAACCCTTCAAAATCCCTTTGGTCTACACATTCTGGCCACAGTTTCTTCCAAGCAGAGTTCAAGGTCCTCTTAGTCACTCCCTCCCAAGCCTTACCTATAAGGTTATACACAATTGAGGATATTAAAGTGCTCTCTCCAAAACTCTCTTAGAGTCAGTTGAGTTTCTGAGGTCACTACAAAGCACCTTTCAAACAGAGCTTTTGTGTACAGTTTTTTTGAAGTTTGCAATAACCTGCTGGTCCATGGGCTGCAGGAGAGGCGTGGTATTAGGAGGCAAAAACTTCACCTTAATGAAGCTCATGTCCCCATAAAGTCGCTCTGCCACGTCTGTAGGATGACCAGGGGCATTGTCTAACACCAGGAGGCACTTAAGGTCTAATTTCTTTTCAGTTAGGTAATCTTTCACATTGGGGGCAAATGCATGGTGTAACCAGTCATAGAAAAAGTCCCTAGTGACCCATGCCTTACTGTTTGCCCTCCACAGCACACACAAATTAGCCTTGAGGACATTCTTTTGCCTGAACGCTCTGGGAGTTTCTGAGTGATACACTAATAAAGGCTTCACTTTGCAATCACCACTAGCATTGGAACACATCAACAGAGTAAGCCTGTCTTTCATAGGCTTATGTCCTGGGAGTGCCTTTTCTTCCTGAGTAATGTAGGTCCTGCTTGGCAGTTTCTTCCCTAACAGGCCTGTTTCATCACAATTAAACACTTGTTCAGGTTTTAGTCCTTCACTGTCTATGTACTCCTCGAATTCCTGCACATATTTTTCAGCTGCTTTGTGGTCCGAACTGGTAGCCTCACCATGCCCTATCACACTATGTATGCCACTACGCTTCTTAAATCTCTCAAACCAACCTTTGCTGGCCTTAAATTCACTCACATCATCACTAGTTGCAGGCATTTTTTTAATTAAATCCTGATGCAACTTCCTAGCCTTTTCACTTATGATCACTTGAGAGATGCTATCTCCTGCTATCTGTTTTTCATTTATCCATACCAATAAGAGTCTCTCAACATCTTCCATCACTTGCGATCTCTGTTTCGAAAACACAGTTGAACCTTTGGCAAGAACAGCTTCCTTGATTGCCATTTTGTTGCCCATAATAGTAGCGATGGTTGATTGGGGTTTATTATACAACCTGGCCAGCTCGGAGACACACACTCCACTTTCATACTTATCAATGATCTCTTTCTTCATCTCTATAGTAATTCTCACCCTTATTGCTGTAGGGTTGGCACTAGAAGCTTTCTTGGGGCCCATGGTCACTTATTTTGCAGATAAAATCACCAAAAACACTGTAATAATACGAAATGTTCCGATTGTATGCTTGGATGTTACCGCGGAGGCTGGCTTGTAAACAATGCCACCGGCGGAACATGTGAGGCTGGCTCAGGCCGCACATTAGACGCGTCTCGGACTAACGGCGTTGATCGGGTTTTTTAGCGGTATGCGAGGCAAAATCTTAGCGATAAAATCTATCGGTATGCGGATTTAACATTATGTAAGGCCAACGGTATGCGGGGGTCCACTGTACTCCGTTTTTTCTAATATAAATCACCAAGACGAATAGGAGAATGGTACTTGTATCTCATATCCTCTTCATACCTCTGTCGAACCGCTCGGTATTATGCCAATTACTCATTCTGGAGTATTTGTAATGTTTTTGCTATTTATATTGTTTATTATGTCATATTAGATCAATTGTGATAGGTAAATAAGTTGTTTTGTTGATATTAGCGTAATAATAAAGCATGTTCCCCTGCATCACGAGACTGAGCTCATGGCAGCTGACAGTGGCTTCAAAGCCACCTTATCATTTATGGACAATATACTGTGTATGTTCTTTACACAATGAGAAGCATTTCTTTCATTTGGGGGAACCATGGCTAGGGGTAAAAGAAAGCAGGTTATAACAATAAATGGAGAAAAAGAAATTGAAATAACTTGTGCACCGAATAGCACCACCAAACAGTATCAGCAGGTTGGTGTGGCGACCCTGGAAATTTGAAATTAGTGCTGGATAACTGAAGGAACCGATTGCCGGATTTGTGATGGCAGACCTGTACTTAATGTTAGTGTCAGAAAGATTGTTTATGAAATCACAAGAACTACTATAAATTGTATTTTATTTTTTTTCAACAAGTTGGCCGTCTCCCACCGAGGCAGGGTGGCCGAAAAAGAAAGAAAATCCCCAAAAAGGAAATACTTTAATCATCATTCATCAGTCACCTCACTCATACATAATCACTGTTTTTGCAGGGGCACCCAGATATAACAGTTTAGAAGCATATACGTATAAAGATATACAGTGGACCCTCAGCTAACAATATTAATCCGTTCCTGAAAGCTCATCGTATGCTGAAATTATCGTTAGCTGAATTAATTTTCCCCATAAGAAATAATGGAAATCAAATTAATCCATGCAAGACACCCCAAAGTATGAAAAAAAAAATTTTACCTCATGAGATATTAATTTTAACACACACAAACTGACACTTACCTTTATTGAAGATCTGGTGATGATTGATGGGATGGGAGGAGGGGAGAGTGTGGAAGTTGTTAATGTTTAGAAGGGGAATCCCCTTCCATTGGGACTTGAGGTATCAGGTCCTTTTCCGGGGTTACTTCCCTTCTTTTAATGCCACTAGGACCAGCTTGAGAGTCACGGGACCTCTGTCACACAACATATATGTCCATAGAGGCCTGTACCTCCCGTCCCTTTATGATTTGTCTAAAGTGGTTCACAACATTGTCATTGTAATAGTCACCAGCATGGCTTGCAGTAGCTGTGTTAGGGTGATTTTCATCCATAGATGTTTGCACTTCAAGCCACTTTGCACACATTTCCTTAATCTTTGAAGTAGGCAACTTCTTCAATTTCTCTCTCCCCTCCTCCGAAGCAGTTTCCTCAGGTCTAGCCTCTTGCTGTTGAAGATGATCTTGCAGCTCATCAGTGGTTAGTTCTTCATTGTCCTCCTCCACCAACTCTTCCACATCCTCCCCACTAACCTCCAACCCCAAGGACTTCCCCAATGCCACAATTGATTCCACAACTAGCATATGCTTCTCAGGGTTAGCCTCAAATCCTTCAAAATCCCTTTTGTCTATACATTCTGGCCACAGTTTCTTCCAAGCAGAGTTCAAGGTCCTCTTAGTCACTCCCTCCCAAGCCTTACCTACAAGGTTTACACAACTGAGGATACTAAAGTGATCTTTCCAAAACTCTCTTAGAGTTAATCGAGTGTCTGTTGTCACTACAGTTTCGAAACATGGCTTTTGTGTAGTTTTTTTTGAAGTTTGAAATGACCTGCTGGTCCATGGGCTGCAGGAGAGGAGTGGTATTAGGAGGCAAAAACTTGACCTTAATAAAGCTCATGTCCCCACAAAGTTGCTCTGCCAAGTCTGAAGGATGACCAGGAGCATTGTCTAATACCTGGAGGCACTTAAGGTCCAATTTATTTTCAAGGAGGTAATTTTTCACAGTGGGGGCAAATGCATGGTGTAACCAGTCATAGAAAAGGTCTCTAGTGACCCATGCCTTACTGTTTGCCTTCCACATCACACACAAATTAGCCTTGAGGACATTGTTGTGCCTGAACACACTGGGAGTTTCAGAGTGATACACCAATAAAGGCTTCACTTTGCAATCACCACTAGCATTAGCACACATCAAGAGAGTAAGCCTGTCTTTCATAGGCTTATGTCCTGGGGAGTGCCTTTTCCTCCTGAGTAATGTAGGTCCTGTTTGGCATTTTCTTCCAAAACAGGCCTGTTTCATCACAATTAAACACTTGTTCAGGTTTCAGTCCTTCACTGTCTATGTACTCTTTGAATTCCTTCACATATTTTTCAGCCGCTTTTTGGTCTGAACTGGCAGCCTCACCATGCCTTATCACACTATGTATGCCACTACGATTCTTAAATCTCTCAAACTAACCTTTGCTGGCCTTAAATTCACTCACATCACCACTAGTTGCAGGCATTTTTCTAATTAAATCCTCGTGCAACTTCACATATGATCGCTTGAGAGATGCTATCTCCTGCTATCTGTTTTTCGTTTATCCACACCAATAGCAGTCTCTCAACATCTTCTATCACTTGTGATCTCTTATTCGAAAACAAAGTTGCACCTTTTGGAAGAACAGCTTCCTTGATTGTTGTTTTCTTGGCCACAATAGTAGCGATGGTTGATTGGGGTTTGGTATACAACCTGGCCAGCTCCGAGAGATGCACTCCACTTTCGTACTTAGCAATTATCTCTTTCTTCATATCCACAGTAATTCTCACCCTTTTTCCTGCAGGGTTGGCACTAGAAGCTTTCTTGGGGCCTATGGTGACTTATTTTGCAGATACAATCACTAAAAACGCTGTGATGATACGAAATGTTCCGATTGTATGCGTGGATGCGACCACACTGGCTGGCTTGTAAACACTGGCACCCATGGGAAAACTGAGGCGCGCTCAGGCCATATATGCACGCGTCTCGAACGAATCACATAGGGCGAGTTTTTTAGCGTTAGCCAAGGCAAAATTTTTGCTTTAAAATGTATCATATGCTGGATTTAAGGTTAGGTGATGCCATCGTTAGCTGAGGGTCCTCTGTATAACATATCCTTCCAAACTGCCAAAATTGTAATTTTTTTTTTTTTTTTTCAACAAGTCGGCCGTCTCCCACCGAGGCAGGGTGACCCAAAAAAGAAAGAAAATCCCCAAAAAGAAAATACTTTCATCATTCATCATCATTGTAATTATCAGAACATAAAAATTATATAAATTGATGAGGGAAAAAAGGTGAGTGGTGCGTTGAGGTATATGTGGAGTCAAAAAACGTTATCTATGGAGGCAAAGAAGGGAATGTATGAAAGTATAGTAGTACCAACACTCTTATATGGATGTGAAGCTTGGGTGGTAAATGCAGCAGCGAGGAGACTGTTGGAGGCAGTGGAGATGTCCTGTCTAAGGGCAATGTGTGGTGTAAATATTATGCAGAAAATTCGGAGTGTGGAAATTAGGTGAAGGTGTGGAGTTAATAAAAGCATTAGTCAGAGGGCAGAAGAGGGGTTGTTGAGGTGGTTTGGTCATTTAGAGAGAATGGATCAAAGTAGAATGACATGGAAAGCATATAAATCTGTTGGGGAAGGAAAAAGGGGTAGGGGTCGTCCTCGAAAGGGTTGGAAAGAGGGGTAAAGGAGGTTTTGTGGGCAAGGGGCTTGGACTTCCAGCAAGCGTGCATGAGCGTGTTAGATAGGAGTGAATGGAGACGAATGATACTTGGGACCTGACGATCTGTTGGAGTGTGAGCAGGGTAATATTTAGTGAAGGGATTCAGGGAAACCGGTTATTTTCATATAGTCGGACTTGAGTCCCGGAAATGGGAAGTACAATGCCTGCACTTTAAAGGAGGGGTTTGGGATATTGGCAGTTTGGAGGGATATGTTGTGTATCTTTATACGTATATGCTTCTAAGCTGTTGTATTCTGAGCACCTCTGCAAAAGCAGTGATAATGTGTGAGTGTGGTGAAAGTGTTGAATGATGATGAAAGTATTTTCTTTTTGGGGATTTTCTTTCTTTTTTTTGGTCACCCTGCCTCGGTGGGAGACGACCGACTTGTTGAAAAAAGAAAAAAAAAAAAACGAGGAAAAAATGTATATTGGCAACACTTCTGCAAGCGGCAGGACTCGATATTGCTGTCAAGTGAGCATCCAGTGCCAACTTTGCAGTCTTGGTAAGTACTGATCCTAAAAAATTTTTTGGGATCTTATTACACACAGAAAATTGCCCTCTTTAATTTAATTTTTTTTTTTAAATACTATTTGGAGCGCAGGGCAAGTGAACGTAGATCTACGTTTGGACAGTTTAACCCTTTCAGGGTCCATGCCGTAGATCTACGGCTTTACGTTCAGGGTCCAAAGCGTAGATCTACGCCATGAGCTCAGCTCACTCTGATAGCTGTGAGTGGTAAATTTGGGTCTAGATATGAGAGAATACATCTATGTGGTATGTGTGCACCACATAAAACAAATCCTGCAGCACACAGTGTATAATGAGAAAAAACTGAGACCGTGATTTTCGATTAAAACTGAATTTGCAGTGCTTTTTTGTTTGTTTTTTATAGTTATATTTGCAATTTCTTGGGCTCATTTGATATAATGGAAGTTACATTACAGAAGTAGAGATGATTTTGATTGGTTTTAGTATTGGAAATGGCTTGAAACTGAGCTCAAAGTAGCGGAAATGTTAAATTTTTGTCGATATTCGAGTCAACAAACGACCTCACATATCTAATACACGCCAGCTGGTGGGTCTAATATACATTCACAAATATGGTGATGATATTTATACCATTATTACAGTATTGCATAACAGTAAATCTTCCATTTTTTGGTTTGAATAAAAATTCATTGTGAATAAAAAATCAAAATGGAATTCATTTGTAAAGCCTGAAAACATAACTAATGAACAGAGGAAATGTTAGTTTAGTGTCAGGAATGCCTGCATTGTTTATTCTGGACCTTATTTTGAAATTGGAATATTTTGAACTTTGTGTTAAATTGGCCAAATTGCCAATTTCCGATCACTTTATTTTGTAGTCGAAACAGTTGACTGGGCAATTTCCTGTGCTCAATCGATAGAACAGAAGTAATACTATTGAAATAGCTAAGAATTTGGTCAACTGGAATAATGTAATTGGCCTAAAATGGGAGTCAAAGTCGGCAAAATCGCCGATTCGTAAATATCGCTGACACGTCAAAATTCGCAAGAGCATAATTTCGTCAATTTTTCATCAAATTTCGTACTTTTTGTTTTATTACCTCTAGAAAGAGTTTCTCTACCATTTCATAAGAAAAAAATATTTTTTTTTTTAAATTCTTGGACCCTGGTGTGCACTTTGAAATTTGGCCTCTGGACTCTGAAAGGGTTAATTAAGGGTTAACCCATTGACTGTTGCAACCCCAAATCCTGAAGTGTCTCCTGGTGTCAAAAATTGTTTGGAAAAAAAAAAAAAAATTTCCTATGAAATGATAATCTTTTCCCGATGGTAATGACACCAAAAGTACTAAACCATACCCCCGGCCGGGATTGAACCCGCGGTTTATTTGCAATCGTGTCATTACGATTTCTTAAGTCACCAAAAGTACTAAATTTGATCCAAAACTTAAGGAATTATGCTCCCACGAAGTTAGCGATCTCGGCGATATATACACATTGGCGATTTCGCCGATTTTGAGCCCTATTTTTGGTCAATTCCATCGTTCCAGTCTACCAAACTCGTAGCTATTTCTTTAGAACTCCATTTTTTCTACCAACTGAGTACAAGAAACTGCCCATTTACTGATTTCAACTACCCAATAAAGTGGTCAGAAATTGGCAATTTGGCCAATTTCATGCAAATTAAACAAAATGCCAATTTCAAAATAGGGTCCAGAATAAACAATGCTGACATTCTTGGCACTAAAATAACATATCTTCTGTTTATTAGTCATGTCTCCAGGCCCCTCTTATATTACTCTTGCTTTCTATTTTGATTTTTTATTTACCCAAAAAATAGAAGATTTACAGACTATTGCATTATTGTAAAAATGGTATAAATAATATCAGTGCACTAGTGAAAGAATATTATACTCCCCAGTTGACATGTATTGGATGTGTGGTGTGATTTGCTTACTTTTGAACATTGGTAAAAATCGAACATTTCCGCTACTTTGAGCTCTATTTGAAGGTCATTTTCATTGTGAAATTAACCAAAATCATCTCTGTTTCTGTAATATGTTTTTCATTCTATCAATGAGACCAAGAAAATGAGAATACAACTATAAATACTATAGGAAAATGTACCTCAAAGTCGGCGTTTTAATCCAAAAACACGGTCGGAGTTTTTTTCTCTCATGCACTGCATGCTGCAGGATTTTTTTTTATACAGTGCAGCACACTAAACACATAGACCCATTCTCTCACATGTGGGCCTACCAGCTTTCTCCTGCTTGATTTGAAACCACTAGAATTATCGAGTATATATACGTCTGAAACACTGGCTCGTAAGTATATATACGGCCGGAACAGTCAAAGGGTTAATAAATACTTAACCCTTAAACTGTCCACACACAGATCTACGTGCACGTGAGCAGTGCTCTGAATGTAGATCACTGTTTTATTTTTCATTCCTTCAAATTTGGTGCAATAGGACTGAGTTGCCTAGACATGAAAGAATGGGTCTGTGCCCTCAGTGTGGGAGCACCAGTTCAATTGAGTGCCAACTAGAGCAAATAGTGTAACAAACACCAGGGATTCATTGATGTCATGTCATGTTAACACTACCATTTTAAGAGGACAGTAAAAATAGGTTAGATAAATACATGAGTGGGTGTGGGTGGGTGTGGGTGGGTGTGAGTTGGACCTGACTAGCTTGTGCTGCTAGGTCAGATGCCATGCTTCCTTCAGTGGATGTGACCTGACTAGGTTGGTCAATTGGTCTAATCTGGGGGGGTGGCATGGACCTGCCTTGCATGGGCCAGTAGGCCTGCTGCAGTGTTCTTTTTTATGTTCTTATGTATTCGGCAGACTGGCCAGCTGGCTGGCTGGCTTTGGCTGTCTCTGTGTCTGTCTATACCTCTGTCTCTGACATGTACACATAAGTACGTACAATTATACATAGTGTAAATTAGGATAACCCAAAAATTCCAGTGCTCTACAGTGTTTGTAGATTTTTTTTTTTTAACAAGTCGGTCGTCTCCCACCGAGGCAGGGTGACCCAAAAAGAAAGAAAATCCCCAAAAAGAAAATACAGTGGACCCCCGCTTAACGATCACCTCCAAATGCGACCAATTATGTAAGTGTATTTATGTAAGTGCGTTTGTACGTGTATGTTTGGGGGTCTGAAATGGACTAATCTACTTCACAATATTCCTTATGGGAAAAAATTCGGTCAGTACTGGCACCTGAACATACTACTGGAATGAAAAAAGTTCGTTAACCGGGGGTCCACTGTACAGTGGACCCCCGGTTTACGATCAGCTCCAAGTGCGACCAATTATGTAAGTGTATTTATGTAAGTGCGTTTGTATGTGTATGTTTGGGGGTCTGAAATGGACTAATCTAATTCACAATATTCCTTATGGGAACAAATTAGGTCAGTAATGGCACCTGAACATACTTCTGGAATGAAATAATATTGTAAACCGGGGGTCCACTGTTCTTTCATCATTCAGCACTTTAACCTCACTCACACATAATCACTGTTTTTGCAGAGGTGCTCAGAATACAACAGTTTAGAAGTATATACGTATAAAAATACACATATCCCTCCAAACTGCCAATATCCCAAACCCCACCTTTAGAGTGCAGGCATTGCACTTCTCATTTCCAGGACTCAAGTCCGGCTATATAAAAATAACCGGTTTCCCTGAATCCTTTCACTAAATATTACCCTGCTCACACTCCAACAGATCGTCAAGTCCCAAATACCATTCGTCTCCATTCACTCCTATCGAACACGCTCATGTACGCCTGCTAGAAGTCCAAGCCCCTCGCCCACGAAACCTCCGTTACCCCTTCCTTCCAACCTTTTCGAGGACGACCCCTACCCCACCTTCCTTACCCTACAGATTTATACGCTCTCCACGTCATTCTACTTTGATCCATTCTCTCTAAATGACCAAACCACCTCAACAACCCCTCTTCAGCCCTCTGACTAATACTTTTATTAACTCTACACCTTCTCTAATTTCCACACTCCGAATTTTCTGCATAATATTTACACCACACATTGCCCTTAGACAGGACATCTCCACTGCCTCCAACTGCCTCCTTGCTGCTGCATTCACAACCCAAGCTTCACACCCATATAAGAGTGTTGGTACTACTGTTCAGTGGACCCCCTGTTCGCGAAGTCATCGGTATCCGATAA